TATTAAATATCATAAACTCATAGTATTAAGCGTATCAATCATTAAATATTCTTGCTTATATTAAATTGAATATAGAAAATTATATATTTGGAAAGATTTTATTGCAATGTCCATGTAATACTTACAATAATAACTGCTAGTAGTTTGTCAAAGCTATGCTAGGCTAACCTTTCTTGTATACTATTGCAAAATACAAATATTTGAATATGTAATTATAACTAAGTCTTTGTCAGTACCTACTGAGTCCATTGCGTAGAGCAATGAAATTATTGAGTAGGTAGTAGTGCGAATATTTCACTCCGCTTTGCTAACGATCATCTATCAAGTGCAAGTTCACAAAGATTAACTAGAATATGAGTCATGCATGGTATAGTATGACGGGCTATGCGCCTATTTTGCATGTGGTGGGCATCCTAGTCGTGTCACCCGGGCTCCTCCAGAAATCTCTGTATCCTCCTGAGCCTGCTGAAGACTTCGGGAGTGACCTTTCGTATTCCGTTTTTATTGTATTTGTATAGTATTCTATAAGTCCCTTAATATAAATTTTATTACAAATATGTAAAAACTTACAAATATGTTCGGAAGGGGTTTTGTAATACACATTTCAAACCCATTCGTTCCGTGTATACCTATAATATTCATAACTTTGTATACGAAAACGCCTGAAATAACCTTAAAAATTATAAATTACAAAGGCTACAATAGTAGATGTGGGTACAACAGTGACTCTTGTAGGTACATAAGAATTATTTACCCAAAGCTATGTGCTATTTCTTTCAGAAATTACTTGCAACGCCTCGAGCTCTTCGAGAAAGCAATACAGTCCTATAATGAGGCACTAAGGTGGAACGTAAGTATATAGTGGAGCGTATGTAGGAGAACATTAGGGTAGCACTCTTTTGTAAATTTACTGCTGTGTAAATCTTTTTACAAGCAACCTCACAAATTACAGCTCTCTGTAAAATATGTACCCATCAATACATTTTATATTTTAAATCTCTAGAATAAGAATAAGAATACATTTATTGCATAAGTATTGGTAATTACATTAGGTCTCAAAATATTACACTGGTTTGTGCTCTATGGTCTACCAGTTAAGGTGTACAACATTATTAAATGTCACAGATTAAAATTCAATTGTATTATTTCCTTCATATTAGAATAAAAAAACAGTTACTAATAAACATGTCACATCGCTGGTCATCTAATTTTATGTTGTCGTGAACAAAGTCTTGTACAAAATAATTAAAAATAGTACTCAGCCATTTACAAAGACCATTTTTAAATTTTACGTACTCGAATTTTTTAAATTCATTCGGTATGCTGTTGTATATCTTGACCGACATTATGTAAAAGCGTTTGTGGTAAAATGCTGCGAGGTATGATTGCCCGAGTAAACCATTCCATGCCCATATCTTAAATTTCTATGATTCCTTTTATTTGCGATTTCAAAATAATATATTAACTTTCTCCAATCACACAGTTTTTTTTTCAGTAATAAATTACTACAGGCCTGTTTTTCTCTATTTTTAATATTTTCTGCTTTTTAAAACACATTTTTAATTAGATATTTCACTAGCAACCTTCACAAATCAAAGGGGCGAATTAAAATGTCGATGCTTTTTTATTTATTTACATTTTAGAAACCTCCTCTTTCTTTCACATTGTCGCGTCTCAAAGGATAATTTTAACTCTACTCTCGTAATCAATGTAATTTTAAAACCGAAAACCGTAAATAATAAAAACATACAAATGTAGGTCTGTTCAATCCCACAGGTGTCTAAGTACGTCTCTGTGTACAAACAGTTTCGGATTAGATTCACAGTAAACACGCAATTAGACGCAGCCAGCGTTTATGTTTGTTGGCATTGTAACAAACCAACTGTGAAAATGTGCGCCGTTCAATTCTAAATACACGAGTTTCAGCAAATGTAGCTCAGGTTCTTTTTTTTCTTTTGTTCTCTTTACCCTATTCTATATTATATTGAATGATGCCATAGCCCAAGTTCACGCGCGATTTGTATATATAATATATATTATATAATATCTTCACACTTGACATAAAAATGAGATTCCAGTAACTGTTATAAATTATAATGATTTATCTTTACTGTAAAACCAAACGAAAGATATTTTTCCCAATGGCCGCCGCCTGTCAGCGTTCGGTTAATACCACCTAGGATTACGCAAGCCCTTTTTTATTTTTTATTTCGATAAAACATATTTTTTAATAAAACAGTTTTTTTTTAATAAAACAGTATTTTTTTAATAAAACAGTATTTTTTAATAAAATCAAAATAAATTAATGTCATGATTCGCTAACAATAGGTTGTTTATTTGAATCTCAGTAAGCCTGCATCTTTTGAAAACATTCTGATAATAATCAGTAGCTATATAATAATATAATATGTAACACATTTTAAGATTTTCGAGGTTATTCACTAAATCATAACGCCATACCACATAAGTGGAGTTACGTCAAAAATATTTATTGCTCTATTAGATGTAGAAAAATATAATATATAAAAATATATATACCATTCTTCCATGAGGAGTGCGAAAAGATTATCACTAATTACAGATTTCATACCACAGTATCATTTATTTTTTTCTTTTTCCCATATTTTGGAACAGTTACAGGCTTTGACATGACAGCTTTAAGAACAGACATAATATCTGTCTACCCTCTTTCGCTGTCGACGACTACCCATCTCGATTACTTGTGGCGTTACCATTGACACTCGACTTTCTTTCTACAATTGAGCGTGTAACTGTTCCGAAATATCAGAAAAAAAAGAAACCTGCAATTAAAGGTAATCGTATAATAAAATAAATAATAATTGACACATCGTCGTTGTCATTTACAGCATGAATATTTGAATAAACAAAATGCGTAACTGTGCATTTTGTTTATGTAAATTTTAACAATTAGATAGTATAAATATAATGTTGATACTCATGTATGTACGGGATTATTATTATTAACTAAGTAAGTACGTAGCGAGTGGCTTGCGTCCTAACCAGTAAGTCGCTGTGTATAAAAATAGCAAACGAATTGCGCCAGCCCCAGAATAATATCTTTCAGGGTAGGTGAATAGACCACTAGCAAAATTCATTGGAAATGTGTGGTAAAGGTCTGCTCAAAACGACGAAGCCTGAAAGATATTACTGTCTATTATAATGACATTTCACCAGTAGTTATCTTTTATATACAGGTATAATATTCACCGTTTTTTATTATATAAAAACAAGTAATGTTTGTTTACTTTAAGAACAATGATGTCCCTTCTCTCCTCGGCCGCAGCCAAGCTAGAAGTAAAGTAACACAATACAAGGGAGCTTTAGAAGACGTGGCTAGAGCAACTGGTCAGTTCTTACATTTTGTTCGGCCTCAAAAATATACGACTCGACAGATACATTATTGTTTAAGAAAACAATTTTTATTAGACCTTGCAATACAATATTTTATATGAGGATTATTTTTCTTGCAACTTTTTGTATGATTCCACGTTTAACGTCTATTGTATCTGGAGCTTATGTCAGTTTGAAGTCAGACTGAAATATAAATTCCTATGTACTTCTGAAACCCATGAGGTCGTTGGAGTTGAGAGAGTTGAAAAACTGGTTTCGAAATGTTTATAATTTAACGTTTCGATCTAAACAAACCAACTTTTCGGACCCTTTACACTTTTCCCACGCTCACGACTGACTGTTTAAAAAAGAAAAACAGTTGATATTTCAATTTACGTTGAACATCAAGTAGTCGTTCATCTTATATGGTTACGTGTCTAGGTCCTAATGCTAATGTAGACAGATGTATATTTTGATATTATGTTCAATTCACTAAAATTTAAGAACCATTAACATATAATATTGTGTAGAGTTGGAACCCGAGAATATGACCGCACTGCAAATTCGAGCGAAAACCGAGTACGAAAAGTGTGCTTTTGAGCGCTCCCTGGTATTGGCACATCGAGGACTCAAAATACGCAAGGTCCCACCAGATTTTGCCGATTGCGCCGGCATTGCTGAGGAAACGGTAATTTGCCGAAGGTGCACAATTATACACTTATAGAAGCGCTGTGGCGCTGCAGCCGCATCACTATTAATTTTCATACAATATATATATATATTGTATGAAAATTAATAGTTATATACTATATATATATATATATATATATATATATAATAGAAACGCGGTTCTAGCGCCTATATAAATTTAAATGGGACCACTAGCGAGGTACCCTTTTTCCAAACAAAAGGAGAATCATCAAAATTGGTTCACAAATGGCCGGAGTTATCGTGTAACATACATACAAAAAAATACAGTCGATTTGAGAACCTCTTCCTTTTTCCTTTTTTCTCCGACTTGAAGTCGGTTAAAAATTACTGAAGCTCTACAGCGCTGCTACGTCTAATTTAAAGGAGCCCTTGGTATGTTAGTATCTTTGATAAAGTTTTCTATAAATCCGGAAGTCGCCTGAGTCATACCGTTACTTTCCATGGCAAAACAAGACTGCTGTGTTCCGGATTGAGGGGCAAGAGAGCTGGAGCAATTCTGTGGTGCCTATCTAGAGATGCCTTAAGATCTTATGTTCCAATCCCAGAGACGCATGTGCGATATTAAGGACACTACTTTAGCACCACAAATATATTACGTAGATAATTACCACTTCTTCAGAATGACTCTGATTAATGACTCCAAATGGTTGAAAGCTTGAATACTTGATGGCTTAAAAACACTAAGGTAGATTAAACTTATTTATAAGAACATCATATAGTTTCTGGAACAGTTGCAGTAAAGGGCTGAAATTATCTTATAAAGCTTTAATAAGCAATATTATATATTTTGCGAATCCACTTATATTATTTATGCGAAATGAAAACTGGGAAAGCTTTCTTATCGGAGTATTTAAGTTTAAATTTATAAAGCTTTTCAATTTTAAAAGTAGAGTATACTATTAAAGTATCTTTCCTAATTTTGAAAGCATGTTAATCAGAGAGCTACTGCATTCATTTCAACTTCAGCATTGCAGTTTGTATATGTGCTATTTTGACTTCATACCAGGAGTGCAGTAGTTCTGAGAGTTATAAATTGAAGACGAGATAACAGAGCGAGATTACCTATAAAGTTTACTAGTACACAGAGATAGTAAAATGCGTCGTTGAAGCTAGTCAATACACTCTCTAAGAATGAAATCTTTCCCAAGCACTGAAGCATTATTAATTTTATGTTCAATCGAATACGCATGCCTGTAAAAAAGCTTAGATCAAATGGAAGGGAATAAATACCCATGTAAACGAGCGTATTTGTAAAGAATATAGAGAATAGGGTTGGTTTTTTGTTGTTTTATATTTCAGTAATATTAAACAGAAAATGACTGTTCCGGGACCTATGTATCGTTGCAATATTTTTATTTTTACCGCAGCTACGTGGGCCGTAGCGCTTATAGAGTTACGACTATGTTTATTTTCAATTTCCTCGTTCTAACGCCACTTATTTTGAATAGTTTAATTTCCTTTACATCAAAACAGTTTAGATATATCTTTTTTAAAGAATATTCGTTTTTAGAGTAGTGTTTTTTTTATATTTTGTACATAATATAATGAAATGAAATAAATTATTAGTAACAATGATTATAAGCTATAAGTCGCTACATTACAAGGCAATGTTTATATTTATTTAATGTAAATAACAACTAAATACAATAACAAACGATATAAAATAAATAATACATTACATTTAAATTGTATTATAAATTTATAAGTCGTAGTGATCATATTCACCTTTTTTTATAATATTAAGTGACGGGACGAACAAGTCGTACGTCTGGTGGTAAGCGACACACACATAACCATTGTAGCGACACTCAGAGCTTTAAATCTCAAAGATTTGAGGGGCACTGCCACTGCGTCCCGACAGACGCAGTGACAGTACCCCTCATATCTTTGAGATTAGGGCGCCCTCTAAGACGTAAACTGACAAACTCCCTGTGCCTGTAATTTCATAAGCACCCTTACCCTTCAAAACTGGAATACAGTAATGTTCGCATTGCCGCTTGTTGGCAGAAATAGGCACGGATAGTATAATTATCAAGAACAAATTGAAAAACTCTATAGTCAAACAGATAAATAGAAAATGAAAATGTTCTTCTCGAATCATTAAATACGCCAATACATTACATACAAATTGAGATATTGATTTGTTTGAAACAAATACGCTATTTAGATCCGGAAAGTTTCAGTTCTAAAGTAACCAATCGCGAAAATCTGGAAACTCTACATAATACAGATACAATATGGCCAAACTAAAATGGCTCTGTTTCCGCAAATTTTATACAAATATAACCATACCGTATATTAGTATCCAACCTCAGAATATTACCCAGTAATACCGATTTAACGTTTAATCTCATTCGGTCCTTATCAACAAAAGTTTACAATTGCTCTATTGATCTTGTCTTAACTCAAATTTGATGCGAACTAATTGACTAACTATTTGATATTCCTAACCTCGTGTGACCCATTCAAACCAAATTAAACGGATTTAATATTCAATTACTATCGTAAGGCGATAAATTGTATTTAAGTTACTATTATATTATTCTGAAAGTTTGTGGTGTAATCATTGTAATGATACGACTGCTCTACTTGTTATAACTAAAGCATTCGCATTTCGGTAATTTTCCAGATATCGTTTTAATGTCGCAAAGATTTATTGTCACGTAAAATAAGTCCAATCCATTCCACTAATTTTGCTTAATAATAAAAATAAAACTGAATAAGATATTAAAAAACCGATTAGAGGGGATTGTAGATTTCTTTTCGCTGTCTCAGATATGGTAATAACTCAATTTCGCTAGAAATGACGATTACGTTAGTTGTGAATAGTATTATAGTTTCTGTAGTTATGATAAGGACGGCAAAATCAATGTATGAATCACGAAACATTTTTTTTATAATATCAAATGAAGGGACGAACAAGGCATGCGCCTGATGTTACAGTGCCACTCAGAGCTTTAAATCGCAAAGATCTGAGGGGCACTAACACTGTGCCCGTCACCCTGAGACATAAGTTGACAAGTCTCATGTGCCTGTAATTTCACCAGAACCCTTACCCTTCAAAACCGGGACATAGTAATGCTGACATTACTGCTTGGCGGCAGAAATAGGTGAGGTGGCAGTACTTCCCTGGACGAACTCTTTCGCAAGGAGCTCTAGTACTACTAAAAGTAGAACGAATAAATGAAATATTCTTAACAGTACATTAAAAAATGACAATGGCTACACTGAGCAATAAATAAGTATCACACAATCAGCTAATGTACAACAGGTATTGCTAAGTAGCAATTTCTTTCAGTTAGGATAGAAATTTAAAAGTTGAAGCGGGGAGTGCAAGAAAAGAATACCTCCTAATAGTAGTGTTACCAATAAGTACACTATATGTTGAATACTATTAATGTATACCTATAGATACTACTATATGTGTATAATAATATAATTTACTTACATACTTTTGTAGGAATTTCATTTATACTTTTGTATTTCGAATTTATTTGAGAACTTCATTTATTTTAACCGACTATAAAAAGAGGAGGTTCTCAATTCGACTGTATTTTAATGTATGTTTCACGATAACTCCAGAATTTGTGATATTTGATGATTATGAGGATAATTTTTGTGTTGGAAAGAGGATACCTCAGTATTGGTCCCATTTAAATTTGAAATACTCCATCTCTAAAGGTGGCAAATTATGGGATGAATCCAGTTTTGCGCACTTTCCGGTAACCGATTTCAATAAAACTTGGCAAATATATGTAAGTAAAGCTAAAATAATTGAACACTCAGTTGTGAAAGAACAACAATGTTATGTATTTCCTACATTAAATTCATACTAATGTATATTTTGTTAAAAAGCTATGTTTTCTAGGTGCGTGAATGTGTTGGTAAATCTGCATTGAAAATGCTAGCGAAAGTCGATGCGTCTTTGATGTTAAGACTAGAGGATAGGCTAAAGGCAGAACTAGTTGATGAAGACGCTCCTGTTGCCCTAAAGAGAGTTAGCCGAATGCAGCCGCAGCCTACTCGACGGGTCAGTTTTAACTACGCTCAACCATGTTAGTCATACGTACCGGTTCTTGCTCAAAAATCTTTTCAGTATGAATTTTCTCTCTCCTTCTTGACTACCCGTAGTTTTATAGGTCCAGTCGTGTCTTTTTAACGAATACCGCTGATTCTTTGAAAAAACATATAATAAAATTAATTTTATGTAATACAAATAAAGCTATAATATCTTTACTCAGACCTTGTAGCGCCTAGTTACACGATGCGAAAGTTTTCGACAGTTACCACGTTTTCACGTACATTAATGGCGAATCTGCATTCTATTTACTAGGCAACAACTTTTAAATTTCTTGGGACAATACAACCGTGCGGTCACTGCGCAGCCACCGCGTAGACCAAAGGCAAGTCAGCCTCGCCGGCCCGTCTCTCATTCAAGTTAAAACGTAAAAGTTAAAGAAATACAGCGTATTTTGCCATGACAGTTAGATGCACGCGGTCACCGCGCGGCGCCCGCGCGGCGTGATCGCGATGAAATTCGTCCCAAATAAACGCGCCCTAAAAGCCAGAGTTGTTTCGTGAGAATCGACACTACGAATTATTATTATTATGTCAAATGATGGGACCTGTCCATAGCAGTATAAAGTGACTCATATAAAATCTGTCGTGGTCCTGTTTTCATACAAATTGAACAAAATGAACTGGTTGTGCGCGTAGTGGTAAGCGATTTGCCTATACAAAACAGTAAAGTTACACTGCCACACAGAACTTTAAATAGTAAAGATCTGAGGGGCACTGCCACAGCGGCCGTCACCCTGAGACATAAGTTGACAAGTCCTATGCGCCTGAAATTTATAAAATAAAATAGCGAAGAGGTTTAGACGTAAATTTATTACTTACTCTCAAATTTCATCTGTTAATTCGTAGTAAAATGAGAGCAGTGATAAAGGTGATCTTATTATGGAAGACACGGAGCCATAAGCGGGTGACGATCCGAACTGTGACCGTCCTGAAAAGCCGATTAGCGCTATTGACAGTAAACAAGCTCATTGCGTATGCCAAGTAGCTTTGAATTGTGTCAACTTATTTTTTAGTTACAGTATTGAAGTACTACCTATTTGAAAAACACAATACGATGTCTAAGAACTCACGAACACGAGAAATATGATTTATGCAGTAATCAAATAAACGATGTATTTACTCAATCATAAGAACTATTTCACTAAAACAAGAGCAAACCTGTGATAAACAAACAAAACAACTTATAATAGAATATCATCTAAAAATGTAATCTAGGTAGTAAAGAAAATACGAATTATTTTTTAGAGCCAGGAAATGTCAAGAGTGGAATTGCAGAAATCTCAACAGATATCTCGGCTCATGTCATCTAAATACTTAGAAAGGATGGCGCATGACAAATATTTTCTGGACAAATTATGCAGAGATGATCGATTGATGTCTGCTAATGTGAAAGATTCCTTAAAATTGAAACAGCTAGCTGCGAAAGCTCTTGCTGATGTTAAAACACGTCAGGTAACATTTTCAAATTGAATTTCTAATTTAGATAAGTTGATTTTACAAAGAAATTTCATAATTGAAAGAATGAATAAGCTTGGTCTACCGTAACGTAAATTGGTTCGAGAAACGAGATTATAAGCGATCGTCATATTTGATTTATTTTTAATTTTCACATCTCATTAATATGATTTTGTTATAACAAAGGACGTATTACGCGAACGTCGTCCCCTCTACGCCGCGAGAGCAGCTGAAGAGGCTGCAAGAAAACGCTTGCTTAGCCGCCGAAAAGAACAACTATCTCGAGCGCAAGCGCAACATATTACAGACGCTAATCGTCTCTTGCAAACCACGCAAAATATGTACGAGCAACGCGACACTACAAAATGTCTGGAAAACGCGGAATTTGCTATGGAACAAATCGCAAGAAAACCAGCCCGTTTGCTACCAGGCAAAGAGAAATTTATACAGCAATTGCAAGATCTTGTTGCCTCTGCTTTCTTGGATCAGGTACGTAGTATGGAAACAATTACTCTGTATCATAATATAGCGTCACTTATACAGCTCTCATTGTTATTAAATACTTGCTCATGTTGCGTATTATTTGTTTTTATTACATCAAGGTTATTAATTATTTGTTATGTAGCCAGATGTATGTTTGGTGGTCTGGTGTTTTAGAACAGATGGAAATAATTAGGTACAACAACAAGGGTTGTATAATAAATAAACAATTGAATTTTGCATTATCACCTTTATTATGGGTATTTACGAATTTCAACAATAGTAACTCTGGGAGTAGCGGGGTATAAATATACCAACCGTTTTGAACGAGCTCATTCTTCGGCCGAGTGTCGAGCAATCAACAACCCCTGAGGATGCCTCGTGGAGAGGCGAAACACTTGTCGGGTATATTTTTCATGGTGGTTTATGATTGTATTTGCGTATGTGTTATTTACTTTATTAATTGTATGTGGAGTGAGGGTGGGAAAATTAATTGTATGAAAAAATTTTCAACACAAGCGCAGCTATTTTGCACGATTTAACCTTCACTGGGTTCGCGGAGTAGCAATTTTATTAATATATATGTTTTTGTGACGTTTAGCTTACTTATAAGCATATTTCTAAAAATTGTCTGTACGCAGAAACGGGTGTCTCTCAATATGAGCGAATCAGATCGTGAGAAGCGTGCTTTCGTACTGCTCGGCATAGCTTTATCTCGGGAACCAAGTCGGGATTCCGTACTCCGTGTAAGACCGCCGGCACCACCTCGCGATGCCAAGTAAGGAATTAATCTATAGCCTGTATCATTGATAGATGTCTCTACTATGACACAGAAATATTGTCATATCGTACATTATTTCCATACTACTAACATGTAGTAGAAGTATACTCGGTGTACGAGGTACACAAATTCAAATGTTTATTGTCCAAAATAATAGGAGAGAGACAGAGAGAGACTTTGATTCTTTGAAAACCATGATTTGCCATTTCATTTCTTAATCTTTTCTTGTACTCATAGGATATTATGGTCTGGGATCTGCTACTACTAACTACTACATTTCAGAGTCTTTGCATGCTCTTTTTGTCTTTATTTAATATATTACAGTTCATAATAATTGTTATATTTCTTAAATTATGTAAGTAATATAAACTAAATTAAAATTATTATTTTTAAAATATCCATCAAACTGTAGTACACTTCGTAGACAAGACAAAAGCTCAAGTTTATGCCTTCCTCATTTTACCCTAATAAGAAATCTAACCGCTCTCTAAGTTTACCTAAAAATTATTCATTGATATACAGCATACAAGACAGCTGCTACCCCAAAATAATGGGAGTAAAATCCTTCATATTGGATGTTTCTAACTGCTGCGTGGCCGAACGGTTACCATACTGGGGGCCTTCCATAACCTTTTAAAAAACAATCTTATTTTAATGTAATCTTATACGTGGGGCGCACTATAAGTTTCCGGAATGAATAAGAAAAAAATACTATAAATGGCCAAAAATGAATTTATTGTTTCTTAAAAGATTCCCCGTTGGCGTTAATGCACTTTTCATACGAATGAACCAACTTTGAAAACATTTATGCCACTCCTCCGTGACAATCTCTGAAACATATTTTTCATACTCTTCGACAGCCTCTTCAGTAATGTAAATCGTTGACCGCGCTTTGTTCTTAATTTTTGGAAATAAATAAAAGCCACAAGTTGCCAGGTCGGGACTGTACGCGGAATGGCTCGTAAGGTCAACGTTGTTCACCTTCAAAAATTCATTTGTCTGTCTAGCCGTGTGAGAACTGGCATTATCGTGGTGAAAGATGATATGGCATTTACGGTTATTTTTACGGAGTTTGTCAATAATTTCCGGCAAACAAATGATCGTGTACCAATCACTATTCACGCTACAACGATTCTCCAAAGCAACAGTAGCCACGTGTCCAATTTTATTAAAAAAAGAAGCATTCATCCGCTTAGAGGCACTTTGCTCGCGCGCCACTTTGGTTGGTTTCGGCTCATTTCGAAAGACCCGTACGCTCGATTGCTGCTTTGTTTTGGGGTCGTAACTATAAATCCATATTTTGTCACCTGTTACTATGTCTCGCACCAAAATTTGACGCCCCTTCGTTGAATCTGGTAAGCATGGCATTGCACCAAGTGACGCGATCCGTTCTTTAAGCCTCTGTCAAATTGTGTGGGATCCACCCAGAGCACAGCTTTTTCACACCTAAATGTTTGTGTAGTATTGATTGTATTTGACTCATGCCTATGCCTAAAGATGCCCAAATCTTATGGTATGTCACATGCCTGTCTGTTTCGATCATACGGCGCACAGCATCGATGTTTTTGTTGTTCACGGCTGTGGACGGGCGACCATCACGAAATTCGTCACTGAGATTCACACGACCGCGTTTTAATTCTAAACCTAGCTACAAATAGTCGTCTTGTATGATACTTCATCGCCAAAAGCAATTTGAAGCCGAGCAAAGCTCGACGAGCTGTCAAATTACACTTAAAGTCGTAGAAAATCGTCACGTACCAAAATTTTCACAAGTTAAATCAATGGTGATGTAGACAACCGACGTCTAAAATGACGCCACAATGTAAAAAAAAGCGACAGTCAGATGAAACAAACTGTACATAAAAAAAGAGTTTCGTTTTCAAATATTGTAATTACTTTTTAAATATTGTTTATGTAAGTGGCCAGTTCCGGAAACCTATAGTGCGCCCTATGCAGTAAGCTTATTATAATATTACTCATATCGTACCATGACAAACCTATCAACCAAGTAATGTATTAGATTGAAAGAACGAATGATTTTCCAATATTGTCTATTCCTTACTAGAAATAGGAAAGAAATAACCCTATATGAACTGTATAATGCCATCTCCAAATCAATTCTCTCTCTCCAATTTCTTTTAATTTAATTTAAATCCCAAACAGACATAAGACTGCAGTATTAATTAATATGTTTTAGTTTATTCTAATTTCTATTATTAATAAATAATAAATTGAACTTAATAAAAATTCATTCAATAAAATAATTTGTAAAACTTAATGTAGAGTAAATTGGAATGTTTTCTTTGTAATATTAAAAATAAGGTATTTAATTAGTAACTATTTTAACTATAGTGAAAGAATAGGGTGGTTTGCATTAATACTAGACATAGCTGGTTGAAGACTGTACCACCTCAGTCAACCGTGATCATGGGATCTGTAAAGGGCCCGAAACGTCGGTTTGTTTGGAAAAACAAATATACGCGATTGAAATCCGGAAAAATATTTTCATTTCCTATAAGGAAATCTATTAAAATAACGTTGTTTTCAATTATTTTTCCGCATTTTCATGAAGAAAAATAAATAAAACAAGCTGAGTCTTGATTGTCACGTTGTGAATTTGGATTTATGGTGTAGTGTCAACTGTTAGTGCCGCCAAAGGGCATATAGATGTCGCTGTCATAATTTTACGAAATAAACATCGCGTATTTTTATTTAATGAGAAATTATTTCTTAAGTACTATTAAATAAAAAAAACAAATAAAATATGAAGAGATATATGTAAATAAATAAGTTCAACTTAATTTTTAATCATTGCAAATCAATATTTAGACAATAAATTCGAAAACAATATTGTTTCCATTGCAACCGTGTAACTATTTTAAGATTGCTGAATTTGACATAAGAACAATATTACATTTAATGTTTTAATAATAAACATTATATTTAATGTTCAAATCGCGTCATAGTACGAAGTGAGGGAATGAATAGTCACAAAGTTGCCAATAAAACATCATAGTTTTAACATTATAATAAGCTTACTTTAAGCGCGTCTTGGTACAAAAAATCAATGTAAGGTTAAAGTAATATTGTATTAAGAGGTTGTAGTAGGCTCCCTGGTCTGCCACGCTGAGGTCCCAGGTTTAATTCCCGAGCCGGGAGAAATATTTGTATGGTCTACATTTATTTCACTCGTTGGGTGTAAGTTATAGTTGTCTATGCCTGTTTTCATGACATCCGGGATATGAGTGTGTGCGTTATTTATTTATTTAATATTAACTTTTATTTTCCACAGACGACGTTTGCGCACGTTAGAGCGTTCGCTTAACCTAAGCACCCGTGCATCAGAACGTTGCTACATTCTTCACGAGATCGCACGTTTGCATGTCGACACCAAGCAATCGCTGAAAGCGAGATTCTTTGCTATGAAATGCCAAGCAGGTTCGCGTTCCTACCGATTTACGGCTTGAGAGCTGATTCCATTTCCGCTCCGTTTTCCAATTGTTAATTTGAGATTACATTGTAGGTTACCAACGTCGTAAATTTTATTTAAAATTTCATCTGATGGTTTTTCCCGGGCATTTACCGATTTTCAGGATCCATGATCCAAATGCAATAGTAATTATATTATTATTGATACAAAAATCGAATACAAAGAAAAAATCCTTCGATTTAATTGAACTTCGATCTGAAGCGATCAGTTACATCAAAGTAATGTTTCTTTGTGTTTTAAGAGTTCGTTCTGGGAAGTACTACCAGTTACCTAATTCTGCCGGAAAGCAGTAATGTGAGCATTACTGTTCCGGTTTCGAAAGGTAACAGTGCTCGTGAAATGACAGACACATTGGACTTGTCACCTTATATCTCAGGGTGCTGTGTTCGGTGGCAGTGCCCCTCAGGTCTTTGCATTTAAAGCTCTGAGTAACAATATGATTGTTATGGACAGGTGTTAAGCGACACACACGCTAGAGCATGACTTGTTCGTTCCAAAAAAGAAATAGATCTTTGAATCAATAATAATAACAAAGTAGTGGAGTATTTCGACAAAAAATATAATAATAACTCTTTATTGCACAAAGAAAAGATACATGAAACTAAAGGACATATACAAAGGTGAGCTTATCTCTAGAAGAGATCTCTTCCATATATGAAGATCATGATAGAAAAATGTCATGATATTCTAATAAATATAGTAATTATATTTGATATTAATTTATTTAGCTAGCTTCAAATTCAAATTCAAAACTGTCTAGTTAAATCGAGTTCTTAGGTTTTCGCGATTGTTACACATAGGAAATAAAACTATTTTTCCGCATTTAATTCGCGTATATCTCTTTTTTCAAACAAACCGACGTTTCGGGCCCTTTACAGGTTCCAGTCAACCGTGACCATGGGACCTGTAAAATGGCTCGAAACGTCGGTTTGTTTGAAAAACAAATATACGCGATATAAATTCGGAAAAATAGTTTCATTTTCTGTCTAGTAATTTTGAATATTTTTAAACTTTCATTAATAAGATTTCATTTATAAATAGCTAGTCTGAAATTATTGCAATAATAAAACCATGCAGTGTACTCAAAGCTGTTAGATTATACCATTTGTTAAGCTTGAGCCTCTTGGCACAGTGCCATGTTCATCAGTGCTGGCATTCCCGAGCCAATAACTTATTTTCAGTCGACTTGGCTTTTTCACAGTTATTTATATGTACTACTGGTAGAACAAATATTTAACTTACGTAATTGTTTTGTTGAGCTTACACAAAAGTACCCGAAACTGCTTCAAAGGCATCTCCAAACTTGTTTGTATGACTACTGTCCTAAATGCAAAAATATTTATTGAAACGCATTATCAAAGATATGTAATTTTTTTAAATTATAAAGTGTAACTGATAATAGCTTTTCACTGTTATCTTACCCGCATACCCAACCCTCTAACTTTGTGATTCAGCGCCTGCAGGTTGCATGACGAATATTTGCGTTTACTGTAATATACTACCTGCAGTACTTTGTCTAATACTCTGTCCACCAAACACAGAAGCGCGTGCCGCAAATTTGCGCGTCTGGTTGCTAAACTCAACATTCCTGCTGGCTCGCTGTCACATCCAGCAGAACAATCGCCCTGAAGCACGTGCTTCGCTCATTGAAGGCGCTGCCCTGGCCCGCTCTTACAGACTTGGCAATGTAGCGGAATTTTTTGACACAGTAAGTAATGAAAAAATTGTTTATTACAAATACAAATTTCTTAATTTACTATGATATACGATTACAAGAAAGGTCAACATCCACACGGCCTCAGCTCGAGAGGTGGTAGGTCATTATAGATATTGCGACTGGCAAGAAATAATATAATATATATTTAGAATCGAATGACTTGAAAAAAAACTTTCGTGAAAATTGCCTTTTAACTTGTATGATTTTCTCAAAATTCGTCAATGCCAATTAAAATATCTTCAAAAGTCACGGACAGTACAGTCTAGAACCAATTTCCTGTAGCTTTAACTGTTAAGGCCTTTGCTGACTCGACTCAAATTTCCAGCACGTATATTAATTTTGCTGAATAACATTATATAGTATTAAATACATTTTCTAACTAGCGTGATCTAGCTTGCTACATGAAAAATTTAATATAATTATGTTCTTATTAGATGTCCTGCATTTTCGGATAGAAAAGCACAATCCTTTGTTTAATATTATGAATTAAGCATTATTTATACAGTAAATAAACATATAACCAAGAACGAGTAAAAATCAAAGGCCGATATATCATAGTCTGTAAATATTATTATATTATATCAAATATAACACACATATTTCATTACGATGATACGGAGAAAAAAGATAGACCATGAGGGATATTTAATCAGATCCTAATGTATTTTCCATAATCCAAACTAAGCTATCCGTACGTAATAAGAAATACAAAATGACGAAGCTCATTTCTATTCCGTTCATATGACATGTGATTTTCGTGAAATAGGATTGTAGGTATTTTCTTAGATTATATCTGAATGTAGCGTGCAAAGACTACATTCAGTTACTTTAATAAAAAACAACAGCTGATTAAAAATGTTGCCTGGGATGTAAACAAATCAAGGAATAATAATGATTAATACTGATAAGTAGAAATAAAATTGTCAGAAATATCTTGCTGTAGTGTGAAAAATATAATTATTATATATTTGTAAGACAAATAGCAAATTATACATCATGCAAAAAAAAAAACAGTAAATAACGTTTCGTTTAATTTTCTCCAGGTATATAGTTAAAATTAAATATTACTTCGAATACTGTATACTACAAATTTTATAGGATTCAACCACACTCGGTAGAAACATAAAATTTGTTATTAAAACTCGTATGCTCTCTCGAGTATTAGCACAAAAGTGAATTTAATATCAAATTTAACAAGGAAATTGTTTTGTTGTAAGTACCACTATATAAAACTTTTTTTTTTAATGAACCCATTATGTCCCAGTGCTGGGCAAAGGTCTCCCCCAAAATCCTCCATTGCTCCCTGTCTTTGGCGATCTCCCATCACTCTTTCTAAAACCCGTCAAGGTCGACCCGCCAACGCTTTCTCGGCCGTCTACGCCGTCTCTTTCCATCCTCAGGCACCCAAGGAGTGACGACGTTCGTCTTCACAGGTTGCATCCGGCTAACGCGGCCCGCCCAATCCCACTTGAGCTTGACTGTTTTGCTCCCCACATCAGCAATGCCAGTAATCGAACGCAGCATTGTATTGCGTATTCGGTGAATACGTTTGAAGCCCAAAATGCTGTGTTCCGTCGCCCTCTGGCAGATCTTGAGTTTAGATTTCTGGAACTCAGCGACCATGTTTGTGCACCGTAGGTTAATATGGGCAGGATGTACATATCGATGAGTTGGAGTTTCAATGACATAGGGAGATTACTCTTCAAGTACTCCTTCAAGGACCTGTAGCTCTTCCAGGCGTACTCTATGCGACGACCGATTTCCTTATCTTGCCTGTTTTCAAAGCCTGCTAACTGGCCCAGATAGATATACTCATCGACATACTGGATTGCCTGCCCGTCTACCTCAACCCTGCCTTTCATACTGTTAGACATTATTTGTGTTTTGGAACGGTTTATCTGAAGCGTTGGAGCGTCTGTTGCAGTTCCTGTGACGTTGAGGCAAAAAGAAGTATGTCATCCGCAAAGCGTAAATTCGTTAGGCGTTTGCCACCGACAACAATTCCCTTTGTACCCCAAGATCTTGCTAGGATTTTAAACTTCTTCAAGCACATTAGTAAACAATATGGGTGAGAGCGGCTCACCCTGCTTGACACCTTTATGAATGTTAAATGATGGGCCGTTCCTATGTAATTTTATGTTTGCGGTACTATGGTTATAAACTAATTTTATTAAATCTATGTAGGTTTTTTCTATGTTTTGGTTAAGTAAAGCTTCAAATTTAGCGGTATATTTTAAATTGTCAAAAGCCTTCGCATAGTCTACAAGGGCTATGTAAAGGGGTTGGTAGTATTCGGTAAATTTTTCTATAATTTGATTTAAGGTGTGAAGGTGGTCCGTAGTTGAGAAGTTGGGTCGGAAACCGGCTTGTTCAGATGGTTGGTGTTGATCTAGGTTGTTTTTAATTCGGTTTTGGATGGCTTTAATAAATGCTTTCTAAGCATGTGACATTAAGCTAATGGGTCTATAGTTGTCTATAGAGGATTTGTCTCCCTTCTTATGAAGGAGGACTATGTTCGCGTGGCATACATGACTTGGGATTTTTCCTGTCTCTAAAATACAATTAAATAAATTAGTTATGTGGGGAGATACGGTGGGTGAGCCTATTTTTAATGCCTCAGTTGTAATCCCATCTTCTCCCGGACTCCTGCCATATTTCATTGTTACATTTTTCAAGATGTTATTTCAATTTCAATTTCAATTGTTTATTGCATTGTTATTAAGACATCGTGGATTTCTTTGCCTATGAAAAATAGAATTGTATCTGGACGGTTGTTCCCACGACCTCGTACTCCTTCGATGTGTCAGAGTACAAAGTTCTATAAAAGTCTGTACCGATGTCTATAACTTTTTCGCGTCTGTTTTGTTTTGTGCCATATTTACCTTGGAGACCATTTATCTATTTTTTACCCCGTGTTATTCCTTGTTTCACAGTTCTGAGAGAAGAATGTTTTTCTACGACAGTTTTAATTAAATAAAGATTAAATGTCCCCTGGTTTCTCCGAAATGAAAGAACACACTATTGTCTCGTTCGCTGGTTTCTTCCCCTAGACTCCTTACTTCCGCTAAACCAACTATGTCCCACTTAAGAGACACTTGAGAGCATTTTCTAGCTCTATCAAGCGCTCGTCACTTACGAGCGTTTTTACGTTGTATGTTAAAATATTAAGCATTTCACAGTCCTTTATATTACTAGCCGTGGTCGTTTGACGGTAGGATCCCACTCGGAGATTCTTCGCACCCCTGATTCCAGGACCGACATGACGCCCGTCAATGTCAGCACAGAAGCTGGAATCGCCGGGCACTTGGGGCCTCATTTATTTATATCTATCCATCCATCCATTTTGGGGGGTATTGGACCTGACCCACCACGCAGAGCGCCAGAGCCTCATTTGTTGGTGGCCAGGGTGTACCACGGGCCGGTGAGGTTGACATGGATTCCGAGAGATGTCGTTTGGACCCCCTTACAACCTATATATATAAAACTTAGGGTAATAATTTTTATGTAGTGTTATATACATGTAGCAGAATTTTCCTTAACTAATTTCCATAGCAGCTCAGCGTCTTCAGAGGTCGGAGCTACCTTTGACGAAAGTTCTAAGTTAGAATACCTAATTGCCGTGATTTCGGTGATTCTATAGAAGTGGACTGTATTTTTTAGGTGATCGAACAAAATGTAAAATAGTAATTTTTGGTCGCGGATAACCATGTAAGCACATACCTTTAGTCTTGTATTTGCTCTTCGTGTATAGGCTCTTCGTCGTATGAGATGGCGGATGACGTCGCACCGGTCCTTTGCAAAATCGGTCGTTGTGGCGATTTTACGGGAAGCCTATGTCCAGCAGTCGAGGTCTTTTAGCTGATTGATGGCTCTGACCTAAATTACTATTACAACAAGACACTTCGAATTTGCATTCAAATGTATCTATTGCTGCTGCCCATGATATTATTATTAAAAATATAATAATATTATTTTAAATATTTCTATTAATGTTTATGTTAAGAACATTTTAAAATTTACAAATTGAATTGAAATCATCGACTAAAATATGTTATATTCCTCATACAAATTATTTTACGTATTTAGCCTAGTCGGCATCTAGCAAGTTTTTCAGGTAGGCGTTCGGCATTAAACCATCATTTTGAGTTTCATATTATATCATATAAAAATTTGCACTGAGACGGCTTTATTGTCAAACCCTATAAACCATTTTTTCAACATCCTCAGTGTGTAAACGTATCAACAGAAGGTGAAATTGAAGCGGCAGAAGCTGAATTGGAAGAGAGAGAGAAAGCCATGGTCAGTCTGATGCAGGATGATGATCTTAAAGCAGCTGCTGAGTATCTTTTCAGAAGAATGTCTGTTATGCCAACAAACAGGTAACTCAAAACTTATGTTTGGTGAAAACCATACTTTCATGAAGAACCTTTATCCAGAAATATCTTTTATTCTTAATTTGGTGTGCTCTAATAGGTACCATTTTTATACGTATTTTCATTTAGTACCGTTATTATCATATTATTTAAATCTTAAAAGTAGACTTAAAAGAGCAAAATACCGAGAAGTTATTTACTATATTCTACTATGTATAATTGTTATTTAAAATGAGTGTCAGGATTAATGATTGTATTAAAAAAATAAATTATAGAATGTAAGTTTCTATTAAACCTTCGTTATACATATGAAGTTAATTGTAATTTAAAAAAGTTTCTATTAAATAAAATTATACTAATATATTAAATAAGCCCTAAGATAAAAAATTTAATATGATACTACCATCTACACACCCTTTAAAAAGACAACGATTTCTTCTACCAGTAATAATTTTATATCTTTTTCTTTTTTCTAGACGATTCTCAATAATGCCAGGGGCAAAAATGGAGGACAGCACGCCGAATGTCAACCGCAGAATTTCTATTAATCCGGCAATGCAGAAACCTACGCAAATTGCCTCTAAGAAAACGAAAGTGCTGGGTCTTTCGGATTTCGATTACTAAATAATGTTTCATTTTTTTATGTAGTGTCTAATCCTGTTCACTATTTTTGTTTTCATAATCACTTTGAACAATTCCCTCGTAAAGAACCTTCGCGTTCTCAGACACGTGCGAATTTTTTTAATACTAATAATTGAAATCAATAACTATACACTTACCTGTAAAGGTCTCAATCGTGTTTAAAGTATTTAATCATTCCATGAGCATAATTGGGTAATTTTCAAGTTAGTTTTCCCTACGTAATTTCGGTGATAATTTTTATTACTTAAATATTGTAGAATGTTATCATGATATTCCACAATATTTATCGCTACCTACTTTAATATTCGAGTGTAGTATTCTGAAATATTGTTTAATATTTCATGATAAATTACTGGAATACTTAATTAATAAAAATTGCCACCAAAATTAGATTAAGAACTTGAAAATTACCCAATTAATTTACTGCGTGGATACGAAACATAACAAACAAAACACAGATACACCTAGATACTTATTTGAAGGAACAAGGAAGCCAAACGAGGCTTAGTGAAACGTATACCCCTAAATCATAGAATAGGCTGACATCGGGTTACGCATTAATCCGAAACTTCCATGTGCAATCTGAATAATCTCTCGATATCAGTGATACAAATGTTATATCTGTGTACAATAAGTTTTGGTTGACTGTACTGAGTGAGGTTCGTTATAATAAAATATATATTCATAGACTGTGATTTTGCAGTACGTAATTTTAAATGTTTTAAGTACTAATTTGCTCATAAATGATGGTTCATAAATTTGTTCATTACCTTGGTGGCCCAACGGTTTGCACTGTAGGCGCTAGATGAGGAGGTACTGGTAGAACTAATTTGGGAAATTAACTTTTCTGAATTGATTTTAGTCTGGGTGTTCTGTGTAGTGTCCAAAATTGAATTCGGTTGTTCTACTACTGGTGAATTTCTTAAGTAATTAAAATAAGACATCCTAATTGGCGTGATTATCTGGTATATTTTTAATATTAAATATTTCCTATAAATTAATTGGAAAATACTCTAATAGTATTGACTACGTACAAGAGTACATTTACGTAAAGTTTCAGTGTACGTCACAAAAATAAATCCAAGACATTTCTGTTAAAAAGAAATACGAGTATAAGTAAAATATAGCTGAAATAAATTTGTCAAGCGTCCCTGACGACAACGTGCTGTCGTGCCTATGATAAACATAATTGGTAGTTTTTGTGACAGTGGAGTTTTTTCTAACAAAATCGGCACAATGATTTTGTACGCACGTTGACATTCACATAAGCTATATATATATATATATACGGCAATATTTATACTATATATATATATATAGTATAAATATTGCCGCCATGGTAGCCTAATGGTTTGACCAACTGCTTCTCCAGAAGAAGCTGTGGGTTCGAATTCGGGCTCGCACCTCTGAGATTTTCGGAATTCATGTGCGAAATGTAATTTGAAATTTACCATGAGCTTTTAGCCAGCGCGGCGGACTGTGACCTAAACACTCACCTGAGAGGAGACCCGTGCTCAATAGTGGGACGTGTAAATGGGTGGATGATATACATATTTTTCTGATCCCAAAGTAAGTAACTAAAGCACTTGTGTTATGGAAATTGGAAACAACGACGGTACTACAATCATCAAGATCCAAGACAATATTAGAAAAATTACTTTCTTCATTGACCCGGTTGAGAGTCGAACCCGTTAAAACTGGTATGCAAGACGTGCATCACAGCTCGACCATGGAGGTCGTTACTAATATACTTTGCTAATATATATATATATATATATATATATATGCAAGTCGAATACAAATGAAAATAATTTTCTACGTAACCACAAAATGTGCCGTATATGTAAACATTTAACTGCCTTAAAAATCTGCAACCACAAAAACCAATCACTGTGCTGAACTACGAACGAACGAAATATAATACGTATAAATGGAATGTAATAATAAAGCACTGTATGATAATTTGAAAATAATTCGAATTACATTCTGTTTTATTACACATATGTACATATGGTATCAACGTTTTAATTTTAAAAGCCGTCTGGACGGATTTGTACCCTTACCCATTGACCTTGGTAGGTCAATGCCCTTACCATATATTACGGAATTTGAATAACGAATTTATTTTTCTTTTCATGATACTAAGGTGACTGGACGAACAAGTCGCGCATCTGGTGGTAAGCGACACGCCAGTCCGTAATAGTTACAGTGCAACTCAGAGCTTTCAATATAATATATGCTAGGAGGCAGAAGTAGGTAAAGGTGGCAGTAAGGTGGTAAAGTTGTAAAGGGTGTGGCAAATTACCTTCTGTTTATTACTTTGGTACCAACGTTTTCATTTTAAATGCCGACAGGATGGATTTGTACACTCGCCATATATTACGGAATTTGAGAGAACAAATTTATTTCTAGAGACGACACGAATATATACAATTAAGTTAATACTTGCGCCACCATTTCAAAATCTAAAAGTACTAAACAAAATCCAGCAGGGGCGACAATGAGTTACACACCAAGTGTTTCTTATTCTAGACGTATATGAGATTCTGGTGCGCAATGACTTTATCGTAATAGTTGACCCGTTTGACATTCGACACCAACAATTGAATGTAAGGTCAGACTTGTACGATAGATGAGAGAGTGATCTGTAATACAAGTCTAGTTACCTATTACTCATCCAGTCTCTCACAAATTGCTCTTATATTTAACATTGGGTCTAAATTCTTTTAATGATTTTTTTACAATACTCTCCCGGACACTTATATCAAGCCACCTAGGATTTTATTTTGTAAAGGGCTAGAATGATTATTACATTTTTTGCAACTAAAACCAACCTCAAAAATTTGTCGAAATACCTATACTATCTCGACGCGACTCAAGCAAATAGTCGTAACCCATAAAAGCAACATTTCGAGAAACAGCTATTTAAACTTTTCATCTAGGTTTATGCGATTCATATAAATATTACAGTTATGGATGTTTGTAATTTTATTGTATAAGTGTCTGTGGTATATTTCGCAATAATTAACATGAATCAGAAAGCCGTATTTGTGGAAAAAACGGGGAAATGTTTTTCTTGCTTGTTACCCGTGCAAAGGTCGTAACTTGAGAATACGACTGTAAGCGTGGTTTAAACTTTAATTATAATTTTAAATAAGGTGTCGTATGTAAACATACTGCTTTTTGTGACGTTACATTTGACTCATATTACGGGGTCGTATTATTCAATTATTTATTATGAAACCAAAAATAATCTTTAGGAGAACAAAAATAAGTTTCGAAATGAAAACCATTTATTGTTTAACTGAAAAGAAACACAATTACTATTCTTAGTTGTATTGTAAATCTAAATTGTAAACATGAGATCACATTGATTATTATTAATTAAAAGTTAAGTCCAGTAGCAAAAACAACCTTTTGGTTTTTTTTTTGGCTCTAGTACAGGGTCAAGAGCACGTCATGGTTTACACTTAAAACTTAAATCCAACTCTATGCCGCTTACGATAAGAACGGTCCAAAGTACAAAGTGTTAAGCTTGATATGCTCTTGACTGTACTAAGATAACAAAAACAATAAATATTTAATACTGATTCTCAAAAAAAGCAAAAGGTTGTTTTTACTACTGGAATTAGTAGCAGTAGAGCTCCTTGTGAAAGAGTTCGCCAAGGAAGTACTGCCTTACCTATTTCTGCCGCCAAGTAGTAATGTTAGCATTACTGCGATCCGGTTTTGAGTACTGGTGAATGGTGGTGGTGCAGGCACATAGGACTTTTGAACTTATATGTCAGGGTGAAGGGTGCTGCGGTAGTGCCCCTCAGACCTTTGTAATTTAAAGCTCTGAGTGGCACTGCAACTGCTATGGACAAGCGTGTCGCTCATCGCCTGAATAGTGCACCATTTGTACGTCCCTTTACTTGCCATCGTAAAAATGTATTTAAAAAACGTATTGAATATCTTTGCAATTTGAAACTCTGAGTGACACTTATGTGTCGCTTGCCATCAGGCGCACGACTTGTTCGTTACCACACTTAATATCATAAAGAAAACTTACAATCAATAAGAATTAATATGATCTAATGTTTGTGACTTAGACTCAAATTATAACTTCGTTAAATTATTGTGTTTCTTACCAAAAAGATTTGATGGTTACACTTAAATTTATTTTTATATTAAAAATTGCAAAGACTTATGGTATGGTATGGTAACATAGCAAAATTATAAATATTAGGAGTAGTTCCAAAAAAAAACTAAAAGGTTGTTTTTGCTACGGGATTGACGCACCCACTCATATAATAATAAATAGCTACACCTTTTTTTTGTTAGCACAAGTACATAAAAAAGGTTGTTTTTGCTACAGGATTTAATTTATAATTAATAATAATTAATGTGATTTTATCTTTGTAATTTAGACTTAAATTATAACTTAGGACAGTGATTGCGTTTACTACCAAAAAGATTTGATAGATACACTTTATGTATTTTTTTTTAATTGCAATGGCTAGTACGATAACAAAATTAGTTTTTTTTCCGAACTTGTACTAATATTTATAATTTGATTGTTGTCAGAGCAATTTTTTAAATAATAAAATTTAAGTGTACCTTTCAAATATTTTTGGTAAGAAACACAATCACTCAAACTCAATCACTCATATCAAAGTAACACAATCACTGTTCTAAGTTATAATTTAAATTTAAATCACAAACATGAGATCTCATAAATTATTATAAATTATAAGTTAAATCCAGTAGCAAAAACAGCCTCTTAATTTTTTTTAATTTGTACTAATATATAATATAATGTTGCTTACTAATCATTAATTGCAATTTTTAAAATAAAAAATTATAAAATGTACCTATCAAATCATTATGGTAAGAAACAATCGCTGATCTAAGTTATAATATAAGTCTAAATTATAAACATGACATCATATTAATTATTATACAACTCCCACAGAAATTAGTCAAATCATTATATTCATCGAAAGTGATTGGTAAATGGCGTTCATAGTTGTGTTTTGCCGAGAACTAATGTCATTGATAGGAAATGAAACTATTTTTCCGGATTTAAATCGCGTATATTTGTTTTTTCAAACAAACCGACGTTTCGCAACATATACGCCCAAAAAATACTGTCGAATAGAGAACCTCCTCCAACCACCGCAAAACTAAAGCAGGCCGTTCAATATGTTTTATGGGGTTCGAACTTCAAGTAACC